AGACCTCCCCCAAGATGACAAAGCGCACCTCCCCCTCCCTCCCTGGATTGGGTTCACCAATACTACAGCCAAGGCTAGATTTGGGAAGCGGGTGACCACATGGGACAGACAAACTTTCGGCATTCAGCAAGGTCTTCGCCAGGCCTGATAGAAGAGGCCTGCCGTCTCAGAACCTTTGTAGTCATCTTGGGGAGAGGTCTTATGCGCTATGAACCCTGTTTAACCTGAAAATAGAAAGATTTCTGATATAAAAAGAAAGCTTAGAAGAAAGGTTGCACAATCAAAAAAAATATTGCACAATTCTGGCACAAGCCTGGAAATCTGATTATAAACTTTTGCAATCTCTTACAAAACTTTGCAAGATTATAACTTGCAGAATTTAATTCAATTTTTAATTTAATAAATTTCGTTGATCTGGAGAGCACACTAGAATTCTAAAATTGCGAAGAAAATTGGCCGCCGCCAAAGATCGCAAAAAATACACACACACTTTCACAGGAATTATAGCCAGACCAGGAGGCAGGAAGGCAAGAAGTACCAGGGGTACTTCTTGCCTATCCCCGCTGCTGTCAATGAGTCAGGGGATAGTAATTTTTCCCCTACGCCTCCCCCTGTGCCACGGTGGAAGCCGGGGTCACTCGGCTAGGGTTTACCCGGGAGCCGCGCCTTACCATGGTGTATCCTTCCAACCGACGCAAGCACGCCGCACCATGGGATTTTACCGAGTCTTTTTCTGACTCAGGCCGGGACCCAGCCCTGCCATGCATGCTGAACAAGAATTTGTGGCTTTATATCGCCCCCATAGCACGTCCGCTCAGAAAGGGGTCGAGTAGGAGGACCGGCTGAGAACCCACACCCAGGGGAATACAATTTTAAAAATATAGGAAGCAGTATGAGTCTTCTAGGTATTGTAGAAAGCACTATAAGTCTTCTAGGTATTGATTAATCACCTATTGGGGATTTTCAGAGGCAACTTTTGTATTCTTTCTCATAAATTCCAATCTCTATGTTTCTCGATTTTATTCATGATTTGATAAATGTTGCTAAGCTTTTTTCGAATCATCATGGAAGTGGCATCTTTGACTAAAAGGAAATTTGAAAGAAATCATTTCTGAAAATTCCCCACCTTCACCGTATCCACTCCCCACGAATCGGGCGTACATTTGGCAATATTTCTCGCGTTCCTCGTGCGCTGAAAAGATCATCTTCTCGCCGATGATTGATCGCAACTGAAAGAAAAGGACACTGAAAGGATTTTCCTTAATTAAATTGACTTAAAAATAGATTTTTGACCAGATCAGGCCAGATCCGGCCCAAGCAGGGTCTCAGGCCAAAACATGGTCATTATGATGCCCATGATCGAATTCAGGTCATGTTATTGCATTCTAGTCATAAATTCTACAACTAATTCGATCTTGGAATCGAACCCGGGATAGCTCAGTCGATCAGCTGACCAAGACACGGACGGTACATCGAGTACAAAGATATTTTGGTGAAAATCAAAAATCCGAACCCCAATAATTCTACTGTGATATCCAGATAGAAGCAAAAACGAATTAAAAGTCGAGTTGCTCTTGCCAATTTTTCGGAATGATCGTGAACTCTTTGCAGAACTAATTTATTAGGCAGCTTAGAGTTATTTTGTTTTTAGTCTCGTTTTTCTTTCTATCTGGATATCACACTAGAATCCTCAGAGTTCGGTTTTTGATTTTCACCAAACACTTACTTTGCTGTTTCGTGTACTCTTACACTGGATCAGTTTCAGTCCCTTCCTGGCTTCCAGTTTTGTAAAGAGTCAGCTCACAAGCCAGGCCTAAGCCTTGGGGAAGTTTTGAGTTATAGCAAGCGAAGAGCTACTGGATCCCTGTTTTATTTCTGCAATTTACATGAAATGTTTCCCTGCTCCCAGAAACCCAATGATTTTCTCATTTTCACCCAAAATCTTAAGTTCTCTTTTTTGGAACCTATCAATTATTATTTTAAATTATTATTTAAATCATAATTTGTACTCCAAACAAACCTCAGGTTTTTCCTCAAAGATTACTGACTTATATAACTGCCAATTAGCTTTTTCAATTCTTGACGAAGAACTTCGTGTACACAGGTCGTTAAAAGCATTTGACAAAAAATCTGAAAAGGAAGTTAGATTGATGTTTGGTGTGAAATAGGAGAGGCTTAGGAACTTGAAAAGAAGCTGAAATAGGAGAGGCTTATGGAACCTGAAAAGAAGCTGAAATAGGAGAGGCTTAGGACCCTTAGGAGAATAGGACCAATTCCTTACCGTAACGGTAAGGAATTGCTCCTATTCTCACTAAAGATCCTAAAGAATCTTACTGTAAGTCCTATTATAGTCTCAGTAACTGATAGTAATCCCTTTGATTACTATCAGTAAATCTTTGAAAAAACTGTACAAGTCGATCGTAACCCTACAGTACCTGTAGAATCGTCCAATAGTAATATAATGTGTCGTGAATTCAAAATAATAATACTCGATCTCGAAGCAACAATAATAAAGGCCAAGAGAGAGGAAATTCGTCAACGTTTTCCAGGCAGAAATGTATTTAAGGAGATGTGCTGAGCGAAGATTTTCTGCTTGCGTTTGATATTCTAGAAGTTGATTCAATACCTTTACAATATCTAGAAGCTATTCAATGCCTTTATAAGATCTAGCTATCTAGCTGTTCAATACCTTTACAAGATCTGGAGGATTATTCAATACCTTGCTATTCAATACCTTATTCAATATTCAATACTCTACAATATCTAGAAGTTATTCAATACATCTACAATACCTAGAAGCTATTCAATACCTTTATTCAATATTCAATACCTTTACTAGAAGTTATTCAATAGAAACACAAGAGCTAAGCTTAGTTTTAGAGAAATTTCAAAGCATTAAAGTAAACCCAAGAAATTCTTGTTTCATTTTGACATCTCGACTTCAAAGCTTTAAAAAAAATCAACTAGTTTACCTAGTTTAAAGACTCTAGGGTCTAGAATATGAATCCTGTCATTTTCTAGTGCCCAGAACATGAATACGATCATTTTCTAGAGCCCAGAACAATATACGATCATTTTCTACACGATGCTCTTCCCAGAAAAGCTACCGTAATCTCTCAAGATGAACCATCCTTATTCCCGTCTTAAATTTTCTAAAATACTGTTATTCCATTCTTGCACAAGTTTCGTTACATTTTAGCATTAAAAATACACAGCTACTAATTGGAATAAACTGAGGAAAACCCGGTTTTTGTTACTGATTGCCTATTTTTATGAAAAATCGATGAGACTTGAAAATGAAATGTTTATTTTGCAGAAACTGTACAGTCGACTGTACAGATGAGTACAGGGAAATGAGTAAATGCAGGCTCTCATTTTCCTGATGGACAAGACTTTCCAACTATCTGGTTCATCAGGCCTGGCGAAGACCTTGTTGAGTGAGTTCTTTCATCAAAGTTGTAACATCCATCCAGATTCTCCCAAGATGACAACAAGTTTTACCGGCACCAACTCACGTCTCAAAACCTTGTGTTATCTTAGGGATATTGGGGATGTATATGAACGCATCTTGGGGGGATGCGCTATGAATCCTGTTCTTCTAGTTTTTTTGGTTTTTTGTTCTTACTCGATCGTCTAGTTCTTTTACTGATTGCCTATTTTTTATGAAAAATCGATGAGACTTTTGAAATGAAATGTTTACCTTGCCGAAACTGTAGTCTCTCATTCACTGTTTCCATTGAATAATCGCCTCGAGGTATACGGATAGAATATGGAAAATATAGCAGCTAGAGTGAAAAGAATTAAATTACCAAATAGCTGTGCTCAGAGTCCGTATCCCATGGTTGTTCCGGAATTTCCAATTCTAAGCTCTGAGCGAATCGGTTTGATATTTTAACTAGTTCCCCGTGCAGCTAAGGGTACTGTAGAGCTCTCTAAGGATTGTAAAATATGCAATACAGCGCCATAGTACTTTTATAAAGTCATACAGTACCCATTATAGTCGAATGATACTGTAGTTGATGTCTGCTTTTCATGCAGGGATCATGGAATATTAGATCATTTTGTTCACTAGATAGACTGGAAGGGTTTTAGGAGTACTGTAGCTGTAAAGATCTTCGACTCTTCGGCGATTAATTTTCAACGTAGAATTTCACGCTGATTCCGAATCTGACGTTAATTTTTGCCAAATCACTTTCTTATAAAAAGTTATACGTCTTTAAAGTTTCAGGGAGAAAAGGCGGTGAATTTTGAGGGATGCCTTTATAACGATTTTCTCAGGGGTCGCCAGCCTGGCTGAAGGTGGAGTGGATGCAGGCTGGCGGCCAAAGCGACCGGGTGCTTTTCTCTGGTCGAGTTCGATTCCTTGAGAGAAACCCGAATTTTATGTTTATAAAATGGAAAGTATAGATTCGGAATCAATGGAATTTTGCTTTGAATGGTCAATAGCTTATCCCATTTGGTCACATCCAACAGCCTCTTTTAATAAGAAATCTCGTTTCTCAATGAACTTACAAAAATCTCCTTAGAGCACAAAAATGAAAGCGATTAAAGCCTAAAAAAAATAGAAATGAATATAAAGAAATGAAAAGCCATAATCAAAAAATAGTTAAACAGATTCCAAAGAATCGGAAATTTTGGATGAATGGGATCGTATTTTCGGGGTACAGCGTCGCGTACAAGCGCTCGATCGAGATCGGCAACATGATCAGTCGTGGCTTGATTAGAACTGAAAAATTGTTTACCGGAGTACACTGATGTATTGGGGAAGTGCGCAGGCCGCCTGGAGTACTGAGTATTGGATACTGCAGCTAAAGTAGTGCATAGTACAGGGATACCGGACCCGATGCAAACAAGTGACTCCGGGGGTTACGTGGCTGTAAAGACTCGTAATATCCTGCTTGGGTCAACTTGAACTGTTCCCTTGACTGAACTGCCTGGGACCAAGCCTGCTTCTGCGCAACCAAATCTTTTACAATCTCTAGAATTTACGAAAAAAATAAAGCACCTCAAATTTAAAATGGACTTCAAAAATTCTCCCAGTGGAATTCATCCCAGTAGTTAAAACTTTATTGGTTTGGGAAATCGAGGGTAGGCTTTCTAAATATGCAATTTCATTCTACCAGTACCCCCTGTGGGTACTGTAACTGACAAAATCAGCATTAAACTACTTCCCGAATCCAACGATAAAATTCAATTTAAAAGCTCCAAAGGAGATTTCCACCAAGCCCCCTTTAGTCTCGAATAGCTTCCCCCTGCTCATCAATGTGTGTAGTGGCCGAATGGTTAGCGCACTAGCACCCAGTGCGAGTGGTCGAGGGTTCGAAATCCGCCTGCGGTCAACCATTTTGCTTTTTGGTCGAAACCTCTGAATATAATAGTATCTTAATATAGAACTATATTCTAGTTCAGTACTTTATCTAGAAAAATGACAGGATTCATGCTCCCAGGCCTCCAGAAAAATGGCATGCCCTATTCTAGACCCTAGAGTCTGTAAACTAGAGTCTCAAACCTCAAAACTACCTTAGAGGGTCCCAACCAAAGCCTCGAGCCTTGGTTTGAGGACGGGGGCCGAGAATTTCAAGTTCTGGCCTTAGCTTCTTTTTAGCTTAAAGGGTCCAGTTTCTAAGTAAATTCAGCTTTGGCCTGATCGAGCCTGATGGAAATCTCGCCCCCGCGCCATTCGCCACAAGCTATCAATGGCCGGGCGTCATAATAACCAATCAAAAGTTAGTTCTTACGAGGGATCGTTGTAGATCGTTTGATTCACCCAAACTGGAAATAAAATTGGTCATAAAACTCACAACAAATGGATAAATTGCTGAAAAACATCTCATCGTCTCACTCAGCTCTCCCCAAAATTCGTATATTTGAAGAATGTTGTAGATGATACTAATGAGAATCATCGTCCAACGCAAAGAATCGGTTGAAATGATTAATGGCAAACGGAGATTTGGATGGCAGAACTGGAAAAGGGCTGATAAATGTTGATAAATGTTGAAAAGATGTTGATGGAAAGGCCAGATCTTTAGCTGCGATCTCGTTAACGAATCGAAACTTCTGAAACTTGGGAGCTTACCATTTTGACCTGAGAACTTCCGAACAAAAACAATGACAAAAGCCAGCAGGATTGGGCACAATAAACATTCGCCTATCAAAAAAATGTAATTTCGATAATTTTAATGGATTTGGCTAATCCCCTTTGGATGGGATCAAGTTTCTACTAAATTTAGTAAATCCTCATTTTGCAAATTCAACAGGTCTACCAATAATTTCGTTGAATTTAGCTAAATTTAGCTAAATCTAGCATTCCGAGAGGATCTTCAGCTTGCTGCCAGAGGATCAAAAGGTGTCGCCGCCAGGTGGAGTGGATCAGCAATGCTGCTGGTAGAGGGATCAGCAATGCTGCCAGAGGATCAGCAATGCCGCCAGAGGATCTGTGGCAGCATGGATTCAGCATCTAAGCATGGATCACCAGAGGATCTAGCAATGCTGCCAATGCTAACTTTTTGATGGAAGTTTTTATGGAAACAGTTTCATTACGATCTGCTTTATTTCTTAACTTACTTTGGTAGAGCATCAAAATGACTTAAAGATAAAGATCCTTATCTAACTTATCCTTACCTTAAATATAAAGATCCTTAGCCTAAGCCTAAGTTCAAGCTTCTCAAGGCTGGGCTTTCCTAAGCTCCAACCCCTAAGCCTAAACTCCACCCTAAGCCTAGCCTGAGCCTGAGCCTAGCCTAAGCCTGAACTCCAAGCCTGGGCTTCCTCCAGCCAAAGCAATCTTTTAAAAACAAATCTTTCTCACAAAAACAACCTCACCCCCTTAAAATAAAAACAGCTTTTACGGCGAAATACTTGGCTTCCCGTTGGCCTGAAAATTTCCGTCGTGTTCTCCATTTTCTGGAGAGAAATCTCAGAAACTATCCGAGAACAAAATGAACAAAAATTCTACAAGTCAGCTTTGAAAATGAACTAAAAAAAAAGCATTCAAAGCCTTAATTAACCCCATCAAAATTTCCAATTTACTCATTTCTTCAGCAAATCTCTAATTTATTTCTAAATTATTACAACTTTGAAAATGATGAAGTAAAGAATTTCTGAAAAACGGAAAAGAAATGAGAGAAAAATGAGTAAAAAATAGAATTATAGAAAAGAGGCAGGTGATGTTTGAAGCCAAAATTGAAGGGAAGAATTGTTCAAATGTACCTGGGATTTGATGTGTAATCGTTTTCTTTAAGTCCTTATTGGGTAATTTTGAAAGAAAAACCATTTGATTTGGTCAGTACTTTATCTGGTACAAGCTCCCGCAAATTATCAAGCACTATAACAAAGCTTTGGAGCTTAAAACTGGCATGTGGCCTTTAGGAAATCGAGGGCAGCTGTGTTTTAAATATGCTATTCTTATCTCTAATGGAAAAATGTAAAAAGAGATATTCATGAAACAAATCTAATCTCTTCCGGAATAGGTTATCGGAAATTTGACAAATCTCTTTCTCACAAAACAATCTAATTTTAAGCTCAAATTTCTTGGTGCTGGGTTAATGACCTGAAATATTCGAGATATTATTGGATTCGCCAAGTCTTTCTCTATCGAGTTTTGTGATCCTCTTCATCAAATAATAATGTAAAAATTTGATTGATCAAATGAAAACCACCAGGTTTTAAAATTGTATTGGTGTGGGTTCGGAGGCTGGGGTGGGTTCGAGCCGGTCCTCCCACTTATCTCCCTTTCTGGCAGCGGACGTGCTATGGGGGGCGATATAAAGGCCGTAAATTAGTTCAGCATCATGGCAGGGCTGAGTCCTGGCCTGAGTCAGAAAAAGATTCCGGTAAAATCCCATGGTGGGGTGCTTGCGTCGGCTGGAAGGAGAGGGATACACCATGGTGGGGCGCGGCCCCCGGGGTAAACTCCTAGCCGAGTGACCTGGGGCTCCCACCGTAGCAGGTCAGGGGGAGGCGCAGGGGGAAAACACATCCCCCTGACTCACTGGGATACAGCAGCAGGGATAGGCAAGAAGCAATTCCTGCCTCCCGCTATAATTCCCGTGAAAGCAAGTGTAATTTTTGCATCTGGGAAACCTCGACGTCGATCCCACTCGGTTCAATGAGAAAGATGGCCACAAGCCTCGGAATCAGCGAAAGAAGCGTTCGGGGCGATTGTTCATAAGAAACTTGGAATGTCCGCCAACATTTTTGAAGTCCGTTATGGTGTGTGGGCCGGCATCTGTGCTACAGGAAAGACACCTCTTGTGTTCATCGATCGAAATGTGAAAATCAACGCCAAGGGTCTACCAGCAAAAAGGTGTTAGCTGGATGTCTTAGAGCCCTGGGCAGCGAATCATTTCGGACATGGATTTACCTTTCAGCAGGACTGGGCGCCGGCCCATGGAGCCCGCTCGACTCTCGCCCGGGCAATCAGCTGTTTCGGGGCCACGTAAGGATATTTGGCCGTCGAATAGCCCTGATTTGAATCCTCTGGACTTCTCCGTTTGGTCGGATTCTGAAAAGACAAATTTATAGAATAAGATATATAAATAATATACAAGATCTCTGACAAGAGATTTCACTCGTGGATTCTAAGAAAGCTGCTTTGAAGAGGGCCTGGGCTGAAATCATCAAAGTTCAACAATGCGCGACCATCGTCGGCAACTTCCTGCGGTTGATTGAAGAAGTGCATCGAGGCCATGCGGGAAAATTCTGGAACATTTGTTATGATTTTTTGTTAGTTTTATCT